ACAGTGGACAGTTTCCTGGAGCAGCTGGGAGATATCCTGCGTAAGTTGAGCTATCTCCGAAGAAGGCAAGTGCAAGTAGAGCTGCTGCATCTCGTTCATAACGCAGAAGACGAAGAATTAGCGGAGGCGGAACTTCAAAGACGATAAATTTTTGCATTATCTCTCGTTACCTTTATCTTTATACCAATACATTATACTTTATACCATTACATAATAAATAAATAAATCATTTATTTCTATTTCAATAAAACCTGCGAGTAGTTCATATTTAGGTCTGAAAGAAATTAATAATTTTGTTGTTACATTACAGATATGTGTATGTAAAGTTCAAAATATTTAAGTGTGTGTACGATCTTTTATATTTATTGAGAAGAAAATTCTTAGAAGAAAGTAGAGTTTCTTTATTGTCTTATAATGATTGGGAGTAAACCGCAAAATTTCGCAGTAAACTGTAACGATACGTTCACTCCTCCCGGTTCTGGAATTCGGACGGGACTCCGAATTATGTTTATGCTTCGCGGAACTTAATCAGATGCGCGGTTCTGAATAATCGGTGGAGTTAGCGTTCTTTCGGTCGGTGTTTGACGTGCTATGTGTCGGTTTGAATAAATCCTCCGTTCCTCCTATTTGCCGAATATGCTCAGCTCCAGGGCCGTCAGGAGGAAAGGAGGACAAGATCTTACTTTGCTTAGTGAGGTAATCGCTTGGAAGGATCGGAAATAAATCGGACAGGTGTGTTACGGTAAAAATAATAGAAACGAGGTTTATTCGTGAATAAGATACATGGGATCGAGGAAAATACAATAAGTCCGCCCTGTGATTAAATACAATGAAAGGAAAGGATTAGTATTACAGTAGGTCCGCCCTGTGATTAAATACAATGAAAAGCAGGATATGAGTAGACGGATTATCTCGGTGTACAGGAAGTACGTACCGAATCGGAAAACAGGAATACAACGCTAATTTAATTCTGTACAACAGGTACGTACTGGATCGGACTGCGGAGTACAGAAATAATACGGCCGGTCGGATTAATCAGGAGTAAACAAAAGAAAACGCCGTTGGGTTAAAGAATACAGGAATTTGATTAGAATTAGACGAAGTTGTAACAAAGGCACAGAAAATACGCAACAATCTGGATTTTACAATCAAGTACGGAAAGTACGGTGTTAGATCGGAATTCGGAAAATAATATGCAATTGGAATCGATATATATATATATGGTTATTAATGCTACGGATAATATACGGAATATACTGGATACGAGTAATTTACTGGCGACAAACGGGAAGGATGTCTGAACGGACTCCTCTGGTCTGTAAGGAAGGAAAGTGACGGAATTAATTCTACGGACTTAACTAGAATTAATTAGCAATTCTTTCCCACCCGAAATATTCCCCCCTGAGTTCTACACCGGTCAGGAATCAGGAAGAAGGATCAGGTCAGGTCAGGAACACGCCCGAGCAGCGCCTCGTTATGTGTGAATTTCAGTAGTGGTTGTACACCGAGGAGCACCCCGTTAGGCGTACGCTACTGAGGGACGGGGCCCACAACGGAGTAGAGCCTCCGCTGTGTGCTCCGGTACGGTATATAGCCGAAGACAGGAGCACCCATTCACTCCGGCTTATACCTGCAGCGGAGGTACCCACTGCCCGGTGTCGACGGTCGGAGCACCAAGCGTCGACTGAGTTAAAGCGCCTGCTCCAGAGGGGCTTTTATACCCCCCCGGACGGAGGCGCGCGGGGAGAGGCGGCGGGGGCAGGCGCGGTGTTGCCGGCTGCCGCCGACGCGGCAACCGCGCGTTATCGATTTTCCAGTCGCAGCTGGTAGCGCCGTCTCTTTTTAACGGCCGCGCCTCTATTTCTTTCTCTCTTGCTCCCGGAATTTCGGCTCTTTAGCTACCGGCCGCGCCTCCCCGGCTATCCTCGTTACAAAACTACTAATCCGGCGCATTTTCGCGACGACCAACGGGCGTTTTTCCATGAGGGGTCACTTTTTATATAATACATGGTAGAAATTTAATACTCATTGTTTAGAGCTTTTCTCCACTGCCAATCAAGTGGGTTCGAAGTTTCAAAATACGTAGCAAAGGAGTCTCTAATTCGTATAGCCTCAACGTTCCTTCGCGCCCTACAATTACGTATATTTTCAATCCCAGTCGACGTTACATTTCGGTCGTTGCCACTTAAAACAGAATAAGTTCTTTCCGTTGGCTCCAATTGAAGTTCGCGTTTTATTAGAAAATTATGTACAGCCGTTGCATCTTGAACGGCTAATTTTGCTGTTGAAACGTGAGCGATAATTGGCCGACGAAAAATTCGCCACCTTGCTGCTAATATCCCAAATGAACATTCAACAGTTCTTCGCGCTCGACTTAATCTATAATTAAAGATTTTCTTCGTAACAGTTAAATTCCCACTTCGAGGGTATGGCCGCATCATATAAGGTGTTAGCGGAAATGCTTCGTCCCCTACTAGGACATATGGAAATTTAACTCCGCTACTATCCAAATGCCTGTCTGGAGGCAGTTGAAGTGAATTCGTATCCAATAGACGAGCAAGATCACTGCTAGCAAACACACCCGCATCGCTACGCCTCCCTTCCGCATCGATGTCCACGATGCTGAAGCAACCATTCGCATCACTCACGGCAAGTAGGTTGATGCTGTGGCTACCTTTGTAATTATAGCAGGACGAGCCACTATTCGAAGGAGCCTACAATTAACAAAAATATAATAATGTTAGATTTATTAAAAAATGCACGAAAAATGGTTGTATCAGATACATACCTGAACGATAATGTACTTCCCATCTATAGATCCAATACAGTTTAGAAATTGACAGATTTCCTGAAATTCGTCAGCAACCTGTTGCCAATTTTCAGCGGTGGGTTGCAGAAAAACTTCATCCTTCAAGACCTCCCACATTGCAGTGCAAGTCTCCCTTACAATTTTAGATGCCGTATTGCAGGCAATGCGATATGCATACGAATGAGATGCTAAACTGTCACCGGATGATAACCAGCGCAAAGTCAGCTGCAATCTTGTACGAGGTGAAATTGGGATTCGACAAACTTTTTTTTCTGAATCCGTGGTCCAACTAACGTTAGCAGTTCTTCAAATACTTCCGGAGTCATTCTGAAGTAATTGAAGAACTTTTCACGATCGGTTATTTGCGTCTCAACGACTAAATTCTCACTTGCACCTTGTAATTGCCTCATTTCATGCGTAAACATTGGCCGTACCCAGAATTTCCGTTTCTTTGTCATATTTTCCTGCTTTTGCAATAAAACGATGTAACTTAAGTACAGCTTTCGGGTAATTATTTAGAGATACGGACCACCCTCCGATGACCTTGCCCTTGACATATGTTGTCAAGGTCATCACTCTGAGTGACCTTCAAAAGGTTTTAGCCGGCGGTCGTTGTTCGTTAAAAAGTTATTAACAAAAAAAGTTTGGTTTATGTGTAAGTTGCAAATGCGTTTAGCACGGCGCGCTGCGCGCGCCCTCC